GACCCTGTCACTTCCGATGCAGAAGCAGGGGGATCTCTAAGTTGGAGGCCAGCCTTGTCTCAGAACAAAACAACAACAAAAGGGGGAGGGGAACGGCAAAAACTGAATTAGACCGCTATAGATTGGAGGGACTGTACCAGGTGACCATCTCAAAAATGCAAAGCTGTTCTGCAAGAACACTGGACAGTTGCTGTTACATGTGCCTGGGAGGAAGGGCCGTCCTGGAAAACCCCTCCATCTATCGGGTTCCTCAGGGGAGTCAAACACAAGGACTCGAGCCAAGTCACTTCCCTTGTTAGTCCTTTCTGCTGTCTCCTGTCTTTCCTATCAAAGCCCAAAAAATAGGACAAGAAGATTGTCTTTAGCAATATAGATAAAGAGACTGTCTGCTTCTCAGGCAGGCTGAGAAAGGCCAAGGGATCCAGAGGAGCCCAGAGAAAGCTGAGTTTCCTGAAGCCACAACTTAAGGTTGGCCAGCAGGGGCTAAGACTGACACTTAGAACACTCTGAGGGGCACTAGGAGCTGGGGTTTACTAGGGGGGAGCTCAGATTTCTCCCTGTCTCTGGACCCTTCAATTTGAGGGCTACTGAGTCAACTTTAGCATTCTGATTTAAGAGATAGAGAAATGGAGAAACAGAAAACCTAAAAGTATATTGGCTTATGGGTTATAGGAGTTAATGCTGATGTATTGTGCCAAGGACCAACTTGCCATCGCACACATTACGTCACCTGCACGGTCACTCAAGGCATTTGCCATTCACATTTGAGAATGAAACCGCGACTCAGGAAGCAGCTCTGCCGTGTCCTCTTACCGTACTCTGTGCTCTTGTGATACCTCTTGACGATATCTCTGTCTGTCTGTCTGTCTGTCCCCGATACAGGGTTTCACTATATAGCCTTAGCTGTGGTGGAACTCTTCACGTAGACCAAATTAGCCTCCAACTCAGAGACCTGCCTACCTAAAATGTCTTTTACTATTTTTTTTAAGAGTCATGTTTTACTTCATGTGTATGAATGTTTTGCCTTCATGTATATATGTGCATGATGTCTATGCCTGGTACCTTCCGAGCTCAGGAGACAGCATCAGATCCCCCGGAACTGTGGGTACAGACAGTTGTGAGAACCCGGGCCCTCCGCAAGGGCAACAAGTGCTCTTAACCACTGAGCCCCGCCCAGACCTCTCCAAACCTCAGATCTATCTTTTTTCTACTAATATCACAATAGTCTTGTCTGTTTTCTTCACTTCACCACTAGAATGTGAAACTATGCGTGGCAGTAAGCAGATTTTCAATGAATACGCATTGAAGGAAGGGTCTGAGGAGAGATGACCTGGTTGGTGAAGTGCTTTTGAAAGCCTGAAGACCTGAGTTCAAAACTCTCTAGTGCCCGGTATAAATAGCACAATGGTATGCACCTGTAATCCCATCCTGGGGAGTAAAAGACGGGAGGATGCCTGGACTTGCTAGCCATCCAGTACACCTGACTTTAGCCTCTGGCCTACACACACACACACACACACACACACACACACACACACACACACACACACA